GTCGTCTGTGAGTGACGTCACCTCCCAACACAAACACGCCCCCTAGTATAGCCCCGCCCCCTCACATTGATTGGCAGCTTTCCGTGCAGACATCGGAAATTCAAATGCAAAAGGAATTGCGATTCCATTTGAGTTTTGGCAGGTTACATGCGCGACGCAGCGAGAGTGAAAAAGCAGACGTGGTAATTAATATTGCTATTTAAATATGACAGGCTCGTAACTCCTAAGACATGGGAAATACAGTTGCAAATGGACTTTGCTTTTTCATTTGAAATGTGGCCGTAGCTGTGCGTTCGCGAAAGCGAAAATGCAAACGCTAATGCAGGATTTGCAATTGCATTTGGATTATGTCACAATTTATGCGTCCACATATTGAAAACGCAATTGAAAATACAATTTGCTATTCTATTTGAAAATTGTCCGGAATATCGTTCCATAGAACACTGCCAGAAGTGCTTTAATAATATATATATATATATATATATATCTGTGGTGTAGACGGCTCAGTCAGACTTAGTCTTTTAATGTTTAAACTTCTGTGTTAATCTCAGTTGGCAGCTGGTTTAAATTAATTTTTTCTTAATTGTTCTAATTGTTTTATATTATTATGACTCTTTTTGTAGCACTTTGAGAATTTCTTTAAAATGTAAAGTGCTTTATAAATAAAATGTATTATTATTATTACTTACTAGAGGTGTCCCCGACTAAGGATTTTCATAGTCGAATCGAAATTGCCGATATTCGACTGATCGTCGAATCATATGTTTTTGGGGTGGGGCAAAATACATTACCAAGAGAGACATTCGACAGTCATATTTACGTTACCACAGGGAAAATGTGTAACGGACGCCTCGCAGATACAAACGGGGTAAATAATGTTTTATGTTTTGATTAAAACATAGTTAACATTAAACGTCAGCGAAACCCTAAGAATTCACAACATTTTTCACAATAGTGCTCTCATTGTAGCGTTATGTATATGACAGTAGTTATTAATGTTCTGCATTTCTGTTTCGAGCTGCGCGTGCTGAAGATGACCAGTAGCATGAAGCAGCAGGTTTTTAATCAATGGTATTTAACTCATCATTTATCTCATATAGAATACGCTTCGTTATTTCCACAACATAACATTAATATTACGACTTATAGGCTATCTGCACAAAATGCTCCGAATGCACATGAACGTGTCTGCGCGGCTCTGAATGAACTCCTTTTGTGGACGCGTTCTTCACGCAACAACGTGCAGAAACACGGCAACTAAACTCACAGCATTTTATTATAATAGTGTTCTCATTATAATGTTATGTGTATGACAGTCCCAGTCGTAGTTATTAATATTCTGCATTGTTTTTTGTCCTGCTCGCAATCACTTGTACCCTGCCGCCAAGATGCTCCTCTGTCGGTCACGGATTATGGAAAG